GACTCCTGGAAAGCTCATAAAGAGCAATCCCTCACATGGTTTCAGAAAATATGCATCAGGAAATTACAGCCTGAAGGCCCTTTGTTCGTTAGCAATTCCCAACCAAGAATGGGAGAGAGAGGACAAACCAAAATAATTGAATAAGACTCTGAGCTTTATATGCAAGCTCTGCACTTGCCAAGGGAAGTAGACAAGCAGCTAAAAGGGACACAATATACCACTAATTATTGAATATTGGAGAGAAATAGCCTGCTTGTTGGAGAAACTATTCATGTTAAGCTTCCTCTATACTTTCTAGCGTACGTGCTCTAACATTGGCAGCATTCAGTACAAGCACGTTTTCCACAACATAACTCTGTCTGGAGTGAAGCATTTGGATTTGTTGCTTGGAAGAAACCTCTGGGCTAGATATCTGTATGCAGTGATCTGCCACAGTCACGAGGCACATGAACCCCTTCTTGGCAATACCCCACCAATAGCCAACTCATTATTGCAGGGAATTTCTTCTCTGCTTTCCAGAAAGTGTAAGTAAATGCAGGGGAGTGAAGAGGAGGTAAAAGGACATGGGAAACCATCTATATCCCCTGTGTGGCCAGGCAGGACATTGCTTCCTCTCAGATGGGAGCAAGTGCTCCAGATCCAGAGTGTGCACACCCAAACTGCTCTGAATAAGCCTTCCAGCCCCAGTTCCCCCTGGAGCTGTTGCCACATATCTCCTCCGCTGTCTTCTTCTGCTCCCAACACATTCATACAGACCAGTCAGCACACTCACAGCTATCTAGCATCTTGTCTTTTTCAGTAGTTTCTCTTTTTTTTGTTTTGGTTTTTTTTTCTTTCTTCTTCTTTGGCCCTGCTTGAGCAGGGGCGTGGACCAGATGACCTCCAGAGGACCCTGCTGGCCTCAACCTTTCTGTGATTCTCTCTGTACCCAAGGTTCATGAGAACATTTAACTACTGAGTCAGTACTACAAAAAAAAAAACACCAATCCAGCTCCCCACAAAAACACATTGAGAACCCAGGACACTTTAATAAATGCGAGCTTTTCACGTCATAAATTTCCCTGCTAATTTTCTGGAGTCAATGTTTAACGTGAACTTTAGATGCTGGTACGGAGCGAGCAGCAGCCCCGAAGCTGCTCAGAGCTGTTTGAGGCAGCCGTAGGTGGAGGCTCACCCAAAAAAGGACAGGACAGAACGTAAATCCACTCCCTGTTCCCATCACACGTCACCTGAGTCTGTTTTCGTGTGGGCTCAGCTGAATCCCTTCCAAATTACCTCTTCATGCAGAAAAAAATAAAAAAGGGAAAAACAAAACAAAACAAAACAAAACAACCCAAACAGAACAAAACCCAAACGGATCCAGCCTGTGTTCATTTGCAGAAGCCGGGAGAGGAGGGTGTCCGGCGGGGCGGAGGCGGGGGGAGAGCCGGGGGGAGAGCCGGGGCCCAGGCGGGCGGCAGCCGGTCCTGCGGGCCGCGGCGGCCGGGAACGGCGGAGCGCGGCTGCCCCCTGCCGCCCGCTCGCCCACCCCGAACCCCAAACCCCGACCCTAAACCCCAAACCCCGCCGACCCTAAACCCCAAACCCCGACCCCAAACCCTGCCGCCTAAAGCGGGCCTCTGTATTCAAGCCACAGGGGGTTGTGGGGGTATGGAGGGGTGGGTGGGTGTATCTGTTTGTGTGTCAGAAAATTGTTCAGAAGGTTTCGGCAGGCAATCATCAAAAAAGACAAATCTCTGACAAAACGCCTGGGGTGAAGCAAAAGTGGCAGCAATGCATCCAAGACCCCCCCTGCTGCATGGCGGCAGAGCCATCACCCCTGCCCCGGCTCTGCCTGCATCTTCCCACACTCCAAGACGATGGAGCAGCGATGCACTATTTCTTCTTCTTTTCCAGCACATGCTGCCTTAACCGTATTTTACAGCTGTGCCTGCCTTAATGGAGAGAAGGGATGTTTAACGCCTTGGCATTTATTGTTGGAAGCCTGAGATATTCTGTCCCTGGGCTTTACAGGCCTCGCTGGGCCTTGCAGCAGGACTACCAGGTGCAGGACCAGAGAGTGGTCCAGCTCTCCCTGCAGCTACCCTGCTGACTTGACACCAGAGGGTGGGGAAGAAAGGGGATGCTGCAGCCCTACAGAGGCAGCTGAGGTGAAAGGGGCCTCCAAAAAATGGACAACCAGCTAAACTTCCCTCCTGACACATCATTGAGCACCCTAGAGCTGGTGGATAGGGGAGAAGTTGTGCTGAAAGTTCACAGCCTTTCAGGGTATGAGCCCTCATCTGGATTTTGATGACCTCTCAGCACAGCTTTGCCCAGGTGGGCTGCCCCCAGCCATTGCAGGCTCTGCATCTTGGTCCTGATTTTATATACTCTTGCTCTCCATGGATCTTTACAGCTTTCCCTAGGTTGCTGTTAAGGTCTCCGATTCTAGTCTGCTTGTTGCCAATGCAATCCACGTCTGCTTTTTCTGTTTTATTTCTTTCCAGTTCACCCAGTATAGCTGAAACCCAACTAGTAGAAACTAGATTTCTAGTGTCAGGTTCAAGAAGGGAGAGAGGTGGTTTGGCTCACCAGCTTTCTTCATGACATCTCAAGGCCCTTTTCAAGTCTGCTGGGGTTCAAACAGCTTCCAGTTGCCATCTCACACATAGCCCTTCCCTCTTGAAGCCTCTCAGGCAGAGAAACCGAGGCACTGGTGTGTACTGTGACCACAAGGCCACCAGCACTGGTGTTTGCAATCAACAGACCGGGACAGTCTATGGCTTTGTTTACGTTACCATGTTCTGGGCTTTCTAATAGAGATCAAAACAATTATCATACCTTGGGGCAAATGAAATGCCAGTGAGCAGTGAGCACTTTGCTTTCTTAAAGAGCTTTGTTTTCTTAAGCTTCAGATGTCCAAAACCTCAGCTGAAGACATACCTGGCTTTTTTTGCAGTCAGCTGCTTGGGTATCGTAGGAAGGTAAGAAAGCAGATGCTGAAAAGAGAGCTCAAATTAGCATTAAAACCAGTCACGTGGAAAAGTGCCTTTAAATACTGAAAAAGACAGAGAAAAAAAAAAAAGGTTATCAAAGTCAGAGATACCCACAAAAGATAAGACCATTCTTAGGGCATGTGTGACACTCTTCAAAAGCCTGCAGGTCAGCAGTCCACCAGTCTAACATGACTTCTCTGCAAACGAGTCAAGCCCTGTGTTGGAAGCAAACCTATCTGAAAAAAGTAAAGCTGGAGATAAGTAGAGTGGCTGAGCTCCCAAAAAGCAAAGCATTTCTCAGTACAATTTGTAAGACTTCAGCCAAGTGCTCGCATCTTTGTTGACCATGGACTTATTATTATTGTTCATGTGATGTGGCTTTCTGTCTGATCTGTGGTCTTCTATCAGTACTTCTACCACTTCTCAATGTCATCTCCCACTTTTTGGAGGAGGAATTGCCTGGGTTTTGTCCTTCTGGGAAGATATAGGAGGGAATTTGGCAAATTAAAATGCTTTAATGCAGGCTTCCCATTTTAGCACTTTTTAAAGACAGTCCCAGTTCTTCCCTAAGTGTTTTGTTATTATTTAACACAGAAGACTGGAAATGAAGCCTCAGACCAGCTAGAATTCCTCCTCCTCCTGCTGCTGCAAAAAGACTGTAGAAACCATCTGTAAGCCCCTAAAGATAGGTTATTTTTCTCTGGTATTGGAGCTGTCAGATCAGCCTTTTCTTTATTCCCAGGGCAAATGTGACTTCTATGTATATAGCCCTGGCTGAGGAAGCTCTTAAACACCTTGTTCTGCTCTACCATGACAGGAGATAACCCTTCTTTGCCACCTCCCAGTCTCCACAACTCTCCAAGATGTGGTGGGGAGTGGAGGAATACACCTACACCGAGTCTTTTATTACAGATGACTGTAAGTCAGGCTTCAGTGTAGACTTCCCAGAAATCATATGGCTTCTGGGTGAGTCACAGCAGCAACGTTACCCTTCCCTCTGCATGTGGACTCCTACGTACACCACAGTTTACTGTGCAGCCAGAGTTCATTTGCAGAAAGCAACATCATCATGATCTTGGGTCACTGAAAATTAAATTGACTGGTTTTTTTTTAATCGTTACAATCATACTTACTTGCATGGACTCTCTGTGGAGTGCATGAACTTGAGTCTATGAGTCTATTCAAGGAGCTTGGTGCTTCTCCCTTGTCTGATTACCTCTGATGCCCCCTCAAAATGCTCTGTCTAAAGAGGCCTGGAAGTTCACTTGCCATTATCATTTTAAATAAAGATAGCTACAAGCTTTGTTTTGTTTTATCCTCTATTTGCTTACCTTCCCAGTTGTCTCTGACATGCAGAAGAACTAGGTGTCAGCAGAGAAAGATTCTCAGTTGACCCACTCAACTAGGATATATACAGTTCTAGACCAACCATTTGAGGAATTATAAGGCAAAAAGCATCAATGTCATTGGGGAAAAAAACGGAATATTTTAGTACTTTTGATTTATTTAAGATCAGCTTTTACCTTTACCTCAGTTGCAGCAAGCCTATTTTTTTTTAGAAAGTCCAGTTTCCATTCTCAGGGATGATAACGCGCTGCACATGAAACATCAGCCTGCTTGGGGCTGTGACATTTGCCAGCTGAGGGTGGAAGAGGGGAAGGCCCCAAGGCTGCAGTTCCTGACACACGCTCACCTGAGTGGGAGTCGAGTGGGCACTCTTTACTGAGAACACGTCCACCAAGGGAGGGGGCAGCAGAAACACAGGGAGATACAAAGCAGGAGTTCAAGAGAGAAAGCAGCACGCCTCCTCAGCTGCAGCTCCAAGTGTCAGCTCAACCTTTGTATAACAGGATGATGTATGATCTGCTGCATGATTTATCTTTTTTTTTTTTCTTTCTTTCCTGGACTAGAATACTTGCTGCTTTTATTTGCTCCATGTTGTAAAAGCAATAATGTCATATGTTAATGTCCTGGAAATAAAATTTGATGATTCTTCAACAAAGACTCAGGTAACAGCAAAGGTCTGAGTAATTCATATTCAAAAATATTTACTTTCAGATGCTCATTATATGTGTTAAGTTCTTGGTTACAGCAAAAATATTATAACATACAGCATCACAGTGACATATAATCAAGCTGTAACAGTGCAGTTTATTACAACTGTGTAAACAAAAAGAAGTATTTCTGTAATGGCACTCTTCATGAACCAAATTCTGGCATACAGAATCTCAGCAGACATCAAAAGAAACATTTATGAAGAAAAGAAAATCCTAAATTGAAGCACACTATATGAACCTGGCCAAAATGGCCCAATCCACATTTTGAAATATAAAAAAAAAGTGTCCTCTTAAGTTTTGCTTGCTTTTAAGGAAATTCGGTCTGAATGTTTTCAAGGCATCAATCCAGCACGTGAAATAATTTTACTATTATTGAATGATATGCACAAAGAGCAAATGGCTCTTAATTACGACCATGTGAATACCTCCTACTGTGACATCATTAAAGGATACAAGAGATGACCTGGGAATGTTATTGTCTGTATAGCACGACACCTCCAGAAGATATTCCTTTGGAAATAAAAATAAGTTCTTGAGAAATAAAATCCAACATGCTCCATCAAAGAAACTTTTTTGTGCATCTAAGAGAAAAACTAGTATCTTACTTTCCTGCAACAGAAGTAAACAATTTGATTATAACAGAATGTGCATACTGCAAACTGTAAGATGGGGTTTGAACTTGAAATACATTCATCTCAAACAGATTTAAAATATTAGCACCTAAGATGCAAAGCTGGGATTTCAACAATTTTGGTAGCTTTCAAGTCATGCACTAGTTATGGCTTGCTTGACAGACACTATTTTGCCATAAACGTTTTAGTGTTCTGTGAGATCCTCTTAATAAAAGCACGTCGGTCAGAATGCCACTACATTTTACATGTATACCTTTCATACAGGACATTTTGCATATGTTCCATCTGCAGAGAGCAGGCCCCACAGTAGCAGGAGGTATAGATAGAGCATAGAAATTACAGTTATTGAAAAATACTGGAAAACTTGGAGTACGTGATATAATCACAAGCTGGTATCTTCAGTTTACAGAAAGCTATAAATTTGCTTGTTTAAAAAAAGACACCCAACATGTGCTTACTCACATGCTGACACAGAGTTCATGCAAACTATTAAAAAAACCCCAAAACCTTGTAAATTTTACCCTTCAGAAATGCTGCATATACTTCATCCTCAAATAAACTGAAGCCCCCTCAGAAACAACAGGGACTTGATGTGCAGATTGACCCGAACAATATGTAATTGCTTCCTCTGTAATGAGAAGTGAACAGCAGTATTGAACAGGAATTTTCAGTGAATCGTACTTCATTTCAAACACTGTTAAGTCCAAATCCAGGTTCACTTGTCATTAAGCAGTAAGACTACCTTTATAAAAAAAACAAACAAACAAAAAAACCAAACCAAAAAAATCCAACAACAAACAAGTTATTTTCTTGGAGGAAGGACATTTTCTTCATAATAGCCTGGATTTACTACATTTCCAGCTGGATCATATCTAGCCACCACAAATGTAGAACCATCACTAGCAGACGCTTTTCCGACCCCCATCTTTTTTGTGTTCTTCCAAACCATCGCTGTGAAGTGACCTGAAGAAAGAGAGACAAACACACACATTCATTTTAGGTGCTAAACCCATAACATTAACGCATGAGGGGGAAAGAGAGAACAATACAAAACTGTTTCTTTCTCTAACGGGACAAAAGCTAATGACATGAAAAGAAAACTACATCTAGTATTTTGTCTTGCAAAAGCTGATCTGGTTCCATGCTATTATTCCCATTTCCATGTCCTCTATCCAAATAAGAATACCTAGTAGAGAACCAGTTTGATGAGTATGATACAAAATTTGACAAAGCCATCATTTACTCCCTGCAGTCTGAATAGCAGTTTGGAGAGTGACTATTATTCATTTGCTTTGACCATCTCCTACTCCCTCATGTGTCTGCATGTGCAACTGTTGAAAATAACACTGGATTTAGGGCTGCTTCTGACTGGTTGTTATAGCCACCCCTGCATTCTGCTACTCTGTCAGTTGTTCCCTCTATGCATAGAAAAACCTCATGGGAGAAAACCATTACTTTCTTCATCTGAAACAAGTTCAGGCATATCTCTTCTTCGAGCATTATTCAAGGAACAATATTCTTATGTTCATCTACCATTGTATTGTCAATATGCAGTCAATGGTCTGTGGCTGATTTCAAAATTTTATCTGAAGTCATCTCTGTGTTTCGAGCAATGTAACTTGGTAGGGCACACATGTCAATGTAAACAGTAGCATGGTACATTTAGTAAGACACCTATATGATTCCAATTTAGTATTTTCTACAAATTAATTTCACTTAAAAATAAGTTGCCTTTTAAAAACTTCGGAGTCAAAGGAAAAATATATTAAAAAAACCCACAGATTTTGCTTAACTCCTCATTTCTCAGTTTCCTTTTACCCTTTTGTCAGTTTCTAACATTAAAAAAATGGGGAAATTCTAATATTTTTTCCCTCTTTTTTTTTTCCCCTAAGAAATAAAGGTAGATTTTTGAAAAATATCAAAACAAGTTGGCTAGCCAATTTCTCAATAAAATCTCTGTTGTTGAAGAAACAGCGCCCAGTCTGAACTCACCTGTACCAGAAGAAAACCCTGGGTTTTGAAAGCTGTAATTTTTTATTTCACTGTACCATCTGTCAGCCACATCCTTTCCTGGAAGACAAAAGAAATCTGCTGTGGAATCATGACATAAACACAGAAGCGTAGCTCACTTACAGCCTGGCTGGCAAGATCTTCTGTTAATAGCTGTCAAGAACTTCTAGAAACATGGAGAAACAGTCTTTTTACTGAAAAGATTTTTTGAAACACAGGTAACATGGTAATACATGAAACTTACCAAATATTTATTGCTTTGCCATAGCTATTGCTACTCTCTACAACTACTTGAAAGGACATTATAGAAAGGTTGGTGCCGGTCTCTTCTCCCAGGTAATTAGTGATAGAACATGAGGGAATGGCTTCAAGCTACAGCAGGGTAGGTTTAAACTGAATATTAGGAAAGAGTTTTTCACAGAAAGAGCAGTCAGGCATTGGAACAGGCTGCCCAGGGATGTGGTTGAGTCACCATCCTTGGATGTGTTTAAGAGTCATTTAGACGTGGTGTTGGGGGATATGGTGTAGGGGAGACCTTTTGTAGAGTAGGGTAGATGGTTGGACTCGATGATCCCAAGGGTCTTTTCCAACCTAAATGATTCTATGATTCAGTTACTAATTAGTCCCATGCTTTCTGTTAAGCATCTCATGCCATCTATGCCATCAATGACCACTAGAGTGCCAGGGGCTGCACTGTGGCCTGCACAGCCTGGCTCAAACCCCAGGCAGGCCACCCACAAAACCAGGCAGAGTTCATCCTGTTCAGGGAAGATGTCTGCAGCAAGATGCTCACCTGGTAGGACAGAGCTGATGACGAGCGCTATACTGTCACCAACAGATCAGGAAACAGGACCACCCACCAATTCTCACCTGTGGTTAAAGCTTTACAACACTGAAGTGAGAAAAAACTTCGGACAAGAGAGGTCTGTGTGGCACAGCATTTGGACTGAGATGGGGCAGAAATCGCTTTAGTCCTCAAAGAAATCACCTGGCAATTTAACACATTCGGTTTACATTATTTTCTGCCCACAACCTTCTGTAACCTTCAGTCTGGAAGGTAGTAAAGACACATCTGCATCTTGGATGAGCGCTCCTGTCATTAGGCTTCTACATCCAGCTTTCACCAGCTCCTGCCTCTTGGAAAGTGTTTGAAGAAACTTAAGTGAGCCTCGAGAGATTTTCTAAGCAAAAGGGGACAGGCAGCTTTTCTACAGGGAGGCCTCTCACCTGTAGATCCAGGTGTATGAAGATATCCCCTTACAGCTCCAACCAAACCAAAGAAAAATGACACTTCTGAAATCCTCTAGTTTTCCGTGTTCTGACCAGCATTTAATACCTCAAATTTCTGAGTGCATTTATTTTTAGTTGTTCTTACTTAGCATTTGAGCCATTGTGGATGTCCTCTTTGAGGCACTCTAACTCAGGGTACTGCAGTCAGACACCTCAAATATACATGCCTAGGAGCTGCAGCTGTGTGGAAGCCCTTGCGTCCAGCGCTGGGTCGTCTCATCAATGGCTTGCACTGGCCACAGCTGTATAAGGACTATGACTATGCCCAGTGATGTAGCACTGTATGTCTGTGCGTTTCTAAGGTTGACGTTTGCCAAAGAAATAATGCTTCCTGGCTTTCTGTTGAACAGTCAAGGATAGAAAGGAGAAGATTCTGATAATCTGCAATGGATTCAGTGGAACAAGCAGCACAGAGGGCAGGAGCTCAGCGCAGAACTTGAGCATGCTATGCACTCAAAAGTCAAATGTTACTTCTTTTCCATTACTGGTTCTTAGGAAATTCTTGTGTAAAACTGCTGGGGGAGCAGGGGGCAAGTTTTTCCCTGAGCTACATCGATAATGAAATTTCTGCTTAGCATTCCAGGAAGTATAACGTAAGGCCAGTTGGTTTCATAGCAAGCTGCCAACGCTGGTAAGCCTACCGTCATGAAGAACGCTGGTCCCTGGTGGACTGTTGGCTGCAGATCAGCAATGACTCATGTTTTGCTATTTTGCAGCAAAAAGTCTTAAACTTGCACTGTTCTAGAAGTCAGACACTGCGTTAACTTCTTTAAACTTCACTTGCTTACGAGTGCAGTCTGCTAAAAGGATAGCGTGGTTAGCCTGGCAAGCTAGCTGTCAGAGCTGTCACTGAAAAGAAAATATTGAATGAAATGCCATTTCTTGAGAGGTTTGTGAACTGAAAGTTCTATGAACTTATGTATGCCACACTGTTTGTTAGGAATAGTGCTCTCTTAGTAAAGGCATTTTACATTTTCTACATAAAAAGGTAGAAAAGCTTCTCTTGTTTCTCAAAGTAAATGTTTCAGGAATAATAACGTGTTCCTTCTTTCCCTGCTATCCCTGTGCCAAAAAACAAACCCTGTAGACCTGTTTTACAGCTCAAGTCTCTAACACAAATAAATAGTTGTTAATTTGTTATTCACACTAAAGCTTAAATGAAGACTGAAAGAAGTGCAAAGAACAATCTTTATGCAATGCAAGGGGAGAAGAAAAAGCACATATTAAAAAATAAGGAAAACAAGGAAATCATCCTGTCCCACTCTACACTTCAAAGCTATCAAGAATTTAGATGTGTTTGTGGCTGGGTGGTACAGAAGTACAGAGTGTGACTGCAGACACATCAGACCTTATGAAGCACATGTATTTTATGTGTACAAGTGCTTACGTGACTACACTATGTAAGCAGCATTTTTACAGATGTAGGACTGCACTCCTACTGCTACCAGCAATTAATTCCCTCTGTTAACGTATCAGTGTGATAAAGCATAAAGAGTAGTTCAGGAGAAAGTTACCCCCACTCTGCTTACTGTAGCTCTAAGAAGTGTACCTAGGCTCCATGTGACAAGAATTTAAGATCTCCATAATCAAAATATTACAGGACACATGGAAATTTTGACAAACACAGTATCTCCTCATGGTATTTTTTTTAAATTTAAAGAATACTATCGTGAAAAATTGGTAACTCTTTAATTGAAGAGAAATGGCAATGCCAAGCATCAGTAATACCTTAATCCTGTTCATAAAAGACAAGGGGCGTAGCTAGGTAGCACAATCCATGATGTGTTAATTCCCAGCCTTCGTGGATGAAAGCTTGCAACTTACTGTGGCCAGGCAGTGAAAGCCTAGAAGCTGATAGCTATGCTCCATTTTACGTGTGCGGGATCAGATATCATTATATAATATTTCTGTCACCCTCCTTGAATTAAAAGAGTCATTACATCATAAGCTGTGAGAAATTAAAGACTGGCTTGTCCCCAGCAAAAGAGAAGATGACCAAGGGACTAGGCAACTTTTGACAGTCTCTTGTCTTGAAATCATGTTAAAGAAGTGTCCTGGAAGTGAAGGGGATGAATTGTACCTGTCGTATGTCACAGGAGGTAAGGTTGGTCTTACGTCAAATTTGTTGCCACTTGAGAAGACAGGTCGGTACCTGGTGATTAAACATGTTCCCTTTCCTCTGAAACAGTTTTCTTCTAATTCTTTGCCCCTTGGAGAGCAGTAAAAATTGCAGTGGTGGGACATAAGCCAAACTAGTGTTGAAAGTGACAGCTGATACATATGGGACTAAGGGAAAACTCTGTGACTCTCAGGCTTTCCAGAGAAAATGAGCCAAAAGAGAACAGCGGAGGGGTCAGCAGAGCACTGAGCCTACCTGCTTTAGCAGCAACTTACATCCTCACACTTGCTGGTTCAGAGAACTGAACACAGTATTTCCATTTCAAATTATTACAGAAGAGCGGTGCGGTTATATTTAGTATCCATTTCCCTTGCATTTCAATGGTTCATTGAAAACAACTCCCACTCCAAAAACCTCCCCCAAAACAGGGGTCAGTTGTTCAAAACGCATTTCAATCAGATGAAAAGAAAACAGAACAGAGATCTCACTCCCACCCCTCTTTCCTGATTGTAGCAGAAATAATAGAAGTTTACTTCTACCAAAAAGCCTACAGATCTGTCCTACAGCCAGCGCTGCACCTTCTCTTTTGTCACTCCCCTTGCAGAGCCAATTAGTAAATCGCTATTTTTTAAAAATATCCTTCCTGTTTGCTTTTCTGTAAATCACATTTGCAGCTTCAACACTTTCTCTATGGAAACATAGTTTGCCTCCACCCTTCTACCAATAGCTGACTGAAGAGCTGCTCAGTTTTACCTACTAAATGTTCATTTCAGAACAGGCTGAATCTTGCTCTAATGAGTTTCATCAGTACCATGACTCTCTGGAGATACCCACCTCACGCTAAAACTTGGTTAAATAATCCTTGAATTTGTACCCAGCTATAGTTCTGCCCAAGACTAGGTCCAGAATGAGCGTAGTAATTTTATTTCATTTACCCAAGCTAAAAGCTAGTAACATGGCCACGCTGTGTCTCCAGCTGCCTCATACGGTCAGAACTGACCACATGAGGTCAGTCCATACGTAGGAGTAACAGCCTTGGTGTGAAGTTTTTCTGCTGATACCACTCTCTGAAGGACAGAGAGATAAAAAGGGGCCCCTGCATGTAAACAGGCGTCAGTACTCTTGCCTGGCCATGCCCAGTATCTCATTAGTTGTCCTGTTGTCTCACTAAATTTAATTTCTAACTATTCTCCTGGATGAGGAGCTCTATTCCATGTGGATGCGAATGCCAACAACTGGTATCAGACCCAGGGCTGCAGGGAGCTGGGTGTCTGCAGTGCCAGCAATGGAGCACCAGTGTGGGTGCGACTGTGTGAGCACCAGCAAAGCCCAAGCTGGACTAGCTGGTGAGCTGGTGAAGTGGGCTGGAAGAAGCCACCACAGGAGTGTAGGGCCACCACATGGAGAAGGGGAGTCCAGGCTGATGGTCAGGGAGTTGTGTGTGCAAGACACACTGTACCAGCAACTGCAGTGGAAATGCAGCCACAGGGGTTTGTACATCCAAGTGCCAGCAATGGGGGGACTGGGATAAAGGAGCAGCTAGTGGGCAGACTGAGTGTCTGAACCCTGCTGCTGCAGGGATCCACACCGGAATTTCATTTCCACGACTGAAGTATATATATACACTATATTATTTTATCCTATAGAAATACAAATTATATATATTCTTTAAAAAAAAAATTACCTGTATATATTATTTATTTACATATATATATATTCCAATTATGGACCTCACTGCAATCAGCCAGAAAGGAGAACAGAATGAAGCCACTGGTGCTGTTCATTTGAATGTTGACTGCGTCTGCCTGTGCTGATTTGTGTGGCCAGCTGTGTATATATATGTGCCTGTACATATGTACATGTGCTGTATACATGTGTTTGTGTGTGCAAGCCTGGGGATACACTCCCAGCCTCACTACCAGGGGCACAAAGCTGTGGCAGCCCTACTACTGTATTCAGCTCCCCCATACATTTAATTTCTCTGGGCCCAGCCTTACTGTTTCTCCTCATATCAAAGAATCATTAAACCTTCTAGTAATCCCACCGAGTAAATCATTCTAAATTGCTCACATTGCTAAAAACATTTTAATAAAATCCCACAGGACATATTTCTGTGTGAGGATGGGCAGCACCACAGCAATCTAGTTAGCAACTAGGTACCCCAAAGCTCAGGCTTTTCCTCAGGCATTTTTCCAGCTTTTGTTATCACAACCTTCCTTCCACCAGTCTGAGAGGAAAGAAGGTAGAGGTAGATTTAAATCTGCCTCACAAATAAAATACCTATCTCGATCGCAGTCATACTAATGGTTTTAGGAGGTAATCCTCTACTTACAGCATTCCTCGTGCAAGTCCTAATTTTATTTTCCCTTATTTTATTTAACAGTACTGTGCAAGCCTGGTGTTAGACAGCAAGAGATGCATCAAGGCAGGCTCTCGGTCAAAGCATGCTCCTCCAGGACTTTGGCAGAGGGTGTCTGGGCCACTCTGCCCACTAGTCCCAATCTGTAGGCAGACCCAGGTTCCTCCCGTAACAGAGTTGGGTGACAACTCTGAGTTTCTCTTACAAGCTCTCTAGAGTTCACAAGCTGCAGCGTTTTCACGGGCAACATGGCACGTTCTTCACGACCCCACCACCCATCCCAACCAGAATTTAGTCATCCCAGGCTTGCCTTCAGCCTTCCGCCCCATGAGAAATGAGAGGAGGCATCCCAAGAAGCCTGACACGCCACAGCTGCCAAGGCAGGCTGCGGTCTCTCGCATTAGTGGCAGATGACAGCTCACTTACTTGAACACAGACAAAGAGAAGTCTGCCACAGAGCAGTTCCTGCAGGACTGGAGGGAGGAAACAGCTGTCAACTATTTCTTGGATTACAGGGATAAACATATTTCCAGCCACAGCTTTAGGCTATGTAACTCTAAAATCCTGAATACAATTCAAGGTATTCTTGTATGAGGAGAGCGGTCAAACTAGAAGACTCTTACAGCTGAAAGCTTAAACCTTCTCTGAAACAAGAAATACATCTCCTGGCATTATTACAGAACTCAGTAAGAGCAGAAATAAACAATAGGACCACTTTTTTTAGAGAGAATACAGAGTATGCTGGAGGCTTATCGAGTTTTGCTTTATCTGGGAAAGAAACAGAAAGACACTGCCTGCTTTTGTTAAGCCCTTGAATGGATGCCTTAATACAAATTTCGGCCTCATTGAGCAGGGTACAAATGAACTATCCAAAGAGAACTATATGAGAAAAAGAGGAAGAATTAATTGACTCCACAGAAATGAAGACTAAGGCCAGACGAGGGAATAGCTTTCTTTGAAGAACTAGCTTTCTCATTCTGGTACTTTAAATTATCTTGCTATATAGGAAATGTAGAAGTGTTTTACAGAGCAAAAAAGGATGTAGCTTAATTTTCTCAGCAAGATATTTAATCCTGTGGATAAAAAAATAGCAACAGACTTGCTCAAATCTGGCAAGTTATGTATGGAAACAGTGCATTGAAGGCAACAAAGAGGATCCAGAAAAAGACAGGCGTTATATAATTTATGGAAGGATTTGTGTGTTTTGTTTCCAGCTCTCTAAACGGGAATTTTGTGACTTTAACCTCGGGGGAAGGAGCACAAGTGATTAACACAAACAAGAAGTAAGCTCAGTGAGTGAGTCACAGCCTCTATGCAAACTTTGCCGTACATCTGCATTTTCCCATGCTGCCCTGAACCCTCGCCTCAGACTCCTGCAATGGACAGAATGCCAAATATGAGTAGATCAAATTGTATTTTTCCACCCTGGGTTTCTTTTTCAACATGAAAAAGTACCCCTTAGGGACTAGAGTTGGCACTTCCAGGGGAACTGAGCAGTGTCCCTGGGTCTAAAACCCACTGCCTAAAATTTCCAGCTCCTTCAAACGGGGCCTCCAGCCTGCAGAAATGAACTTCTGTTTTCCTGAGGCTTTGCTGGAAATTCCAGGGGTAGATGGGAATAAAGAAAGCAAGTGGTCACTTTTAATATATCCCACCTGCTGTCTCAGCAGGCTAAGGCATGAGCCCTGCCCGCTGGAGAAGGCAGGAGAGAAGAGCCTGCTGAACATCATGCTGACTGGAGTCTCACCCCAGGCTGTCAGCCTGGCCAAAATTCAGCTCCTCGGGCATCCAAATGTTACGTGTTACATTTATGATCAGAAAATACATGGAGTATTTTTCTCTTTAAAAATGAAGGCACGGGAAAGGGCTCAAAGCCTGCTTTACTGACAGAGCAGAAGAGACTAGATGTCTAACACATTAGCCTCTGTCCCTTTGGTGTTCGCCCCCCTGCCCTGTTTTTGCCCCCACAAACAGGAACTGCTGTGTAGCATGCAATGACCATTTTTCCACCTTCCTCACCACAGTTGGCCTGTGGTCAGCCCTCTCTTTGGCTGAGACAAACTAAAGATAAAGGTGAAGTACAGGGCACCGAGAGTTTCCTTCTCTCCAGCCATGGATGTACAAGTAGCACTCATGGCAGCTCCACAGCTGGGACATATGAACCAGCTGAGCTGCTAAGTCCTACCTCCAAAGGGACATAGCATACTTACCACAGTCCCTTACCCCCTCCATGTCTACACAGGCTCCTTGCTTTTAGCACATGTAGGTGCAAACCACCACCCTGTCTCCATGAAGCCTGGGCTGGGCTGTGGGGGACACATTTTTGAAGCACAGGCAATGACAGTACTCTTGCAACCAGATGCTCTGAGCCCGAAGTACGTGAGATAAGCCATTTATTCAGTGTCTGTGAGACAACAAGAGAAGAAAGCTTACCTGGTTGGTCATAGGATGCCCATGCTAGGTTTTCTCCACATTTTCCATTAGCAGACTCGGAGCTGTGTTTGAGGACCTTCGTGGTAGCCAGTTCTTCTGCATACCTGACAAAAGAATCCACCCATTGAGTCACGGACCACAGCCACAGTGAGCAGAGAGGAGGAGGAGCAGGAGGAAAACAAAGAGAAGCAAGCAAGGAATTTTGCTGGAAGATGACAGTTTAAGCCAAGTTACTCAGCTACAAAGCCCTGAAGCCAGGGATGCTTTGAGTTTATATAGATGTAGGAGTTAGGCAAAGGGAAGGTCTAGAGTCCATTCTCTTTGTCTTTCATGAGCACACGTGTCACTGCTAAGAAGGCCCTAGAAGAAATCAGAAGGCAGATCTCCCCTCACTATGTTCTGCTCAGCACCTGGAAGTCCACTGGCCATCATTAGCTGCAGCTGCTGGGGGAAAGGGAAGTCCCTGCTGCACCTGCTACAGGTGTCACCTCCTGGCGTTTCTAGGCCCCTCATGGGAGTAACTTGAATGTTCTTTATGAGATGGAAAAAGGACCAAAGTGAGGATTCAGTCAAAGTGAGTGTAAAAAAACCCACATTTACAAATGAAAAAAAGGTCAGACGCAAAACAAGAGCAACGTGCCAGGCAACAGTACGGAGAAGGGGACTACTCGGAAAATCTGAGGCAATAACTGTGTATACCAACGCAGGGGTAAGCAGCACTGTTTCTATAGAAGTTGACATGTGTGAGAGCGTGGGATGTATTTTATTGTCTTATGACAATAGGGTTAAGAAAAACATCATGTGTAAAACAATTATCCTCTTTATTCAACATTGGAAAGGCTTCAGTAAAGAGTGAAATTGGAAAGACCATTTGTTATTTCTCATGTCACAAGAAATAGGAGGCAACACACAGAATCATCAGGTCATAGATTTAGAAGTCAAGTAAGACAAAGCACTTTTTCCATGCTGTGTAGCAGAAGTCATCGCCACAGGATGATGTAAACATGAAAGCACATGTGGGTTTGAGAAAGAGCTAGACAAATTTACAGTGGGAATCTTCAGGGATTATTAAACAACGGCAACAAAAAAAATGAGGATTCCACCTACTTCTTAGGAAAACCATATTTTCCAGGAGAAATCTGCAATTTCTGTGAGAAGATAACGGGGGAAGGATCACCACATTTGTTTCATCCTGCTACTCATTCTCTAATAATGAATTCCTGGCATCTGCCAGAGACAGGAAATTTGTCCAGCTGAACATTTTGGCCCAAGTTAGTACTTCAGTCATTAGGTTCTCATTTCCTTCTGTCCTAATCCTCCCACCAAAACAACAACAACAAAATTATTTAGCTACCTCCATTAATTTAGAAATAAAGAAACCTTGACCAGTTGTCAGCCTGCTAGATCCCAAACTAGAGGATCTCGAGATGCTCCGTCATGGCCTTTGTAACTGTAGTCCTGTAATTTTTCTCTTCAAGGATTCCAACATCCCAATAAAGAGGCAAGACTGGAACAAAGTACACATTGCACATGGACAAAATTGCCAAGGATTTGAGACAAAGGGTGATTAATTCGCTTTAGCTCAGGCAGTTGAAAGCATGAGATTTGCATCTGAGATCATCACCCTATGCTTCATTACAGTCAGAGATAAACAGACACCTGCTGAGGGTGACTCATCTCATGCTAAAGCAGGGATCCATAGTCATTTCATCTAACCTGTCACACTTATTGGAACTGAAAATAGTAGGAAACAGACCATTTTCAACACAGATAGAGAAGCACAGAAAAGTACCCAGAGATACATCAAATACATACCAACAAAGACATCAGATATACCTAAAGAAGAGACAAAGTTCTCCTTCGAATTTAAGATCATGCAAAATCTGTCTTGACAAATAAGAGATTTCTTATATTTCATGTCTTTTGTTCAGATGAAACCATTTCTGCTTCCTGCTATCAACCAGCTTCACCAGTCTCTGAACATGTGTCTTTTAATTCTTACAAGTTAAGTTACAGACCCCATCTAAACAAAGGTTTCCTATTGTTCATCACAGCGGGGAAGGTCAGCTGAGACCAGAGAGGACTGTAAGGAATTCCAGAAGGATCTAAAAATATCCAGCAAGGACAATAGCACACTTAAGAGATAAATGTGGAGCAATGCATATTTGACAGAATAATCTGAAGTATTCACACAAGTTCACTTGTTCAAACCAACTGCAGCACTTTGGAGACACATCAAGTGTTATTGACAAGTCAATGAAATGTTTTCCTCATTGTGAGACACCATGTAAAATAGAAACAAAACAACCCTTTGAAGAACAGAAGGAAAACCCCAGCAGATTACAAAGGTATGTGGATGAATCACTGGCATTCCATCTCTTAGAAATACTGTATCCAGTTACCATTGTGTCTCAATCAAAAAAAAAATGTGAAAAAATGAAGACAGAATCATATTTTGCTTGCTGCCAGATGGCACGTCCATGAGCCAGGTACATGGTGCACTGTACAGCACAACATCTGATGGAGACCTCTGGTCTTCTGTGCATCTGTGTGACAGCACAGCACCATGCTGGCACAGTAAATCAGGTTCTGGAGAGGCTACAGCCTCTCTGACTCCTGGCCAGCTGGCATGGAGAAATCTGCATGGTTATGGTAGAAAGCCTAAAGGAAGATGAGACCGCAAGTCTGCAGGGATCAAACTGGTAACTATGTAGCTATTGTGGAAAGACATTTATTTTCTGAATAGTTTAATCAGCATTTACTCCTTCAGGTATCTCCTTTGTACTGTGACGATCAGCCTGAAAAAATTGGAAGATTTTCAAATCTACTTTGAAAAAGGTTTCTGTAAAGGGAAAGGAAATAATCGGCAGTAATGGACTCAAATTTCTGTAAGGAAGACTTAAATCAGACAGCAGGAAGATGAATCCACTGTACTTAAGACAGAAGAAGTTTTGTAATCTTCAGCACTGGAGAAGAGGTAGGACGGCCTAGAGAACAACACATACTGATTTTGCTTTTGGGGCAGGGAGACAGATTATTTGATCTGAAATTACTTCCCTCTGATTCCATTGATCTTAGACCAGTCATCACTTCCTACTGTGAAAAAGGTTATTTTCTCTGCTATTTCAGCAGCAGTCAATATTCTTTGGCACCGGACAATCCATCACCTGACAGAGGTGGTGGTGAAGCATATTTTAGGCAACTACCCACTACAGGGGAGACACACCAGTGTAGACAGGTGCAGCCCGTGTCTGGAAAAGGGTGCAAGAACAATTTATATAGCTGTGACCACGGAAGTGCCCATGTGACCTGCTGGTGATATGCGATAGAGAAAGAAAGGACGAAAAGAGTTGGGTAGGGAGACAAAAAGAGTCGAGTCCCTCCACCCAGTAAGTCTTCAGTGAATATCAGCACATAAAAAGGCAAGTATTTTTGCAGTATGCACAGTCAAACCTAGTAGACAAAAGTGTCACAAATCTCATTAGAGAAAAGAAAGGACTGAACTCACTGTTGGGCTCCTCTGTTTAACTTCTTGCAGAGTTTTAATGGGGGGACTCCGTGTTTCTTCCTGTAGTCATTGTGTGCTTTCAAGACTTCTTCAGCAAATTGTTTGGAAGCTGAAATAACACAAAAAAAATCGGAAAGGTCTGTCAAATACAGACTACAGTGAAGACAGAAAAAGCATACCCTGTAGGCTGAGAAGCCGGTGCAGGCTGGACTGAAGAACAGAAGCATACAACCCTCATTACCTGGGAGTAGGAGGAAATGAACCATTAAAGCCTCCCATCCAGGAACTAACTCTGAGACACTTCCATTGGGATGGTACAGACTCACTAAAGGTTGCAGAAAAACGTGAACCTTATTCCTTTCCTTAGTAGCAAGGTGATTTTGACTGACTTTCATTCTAAGATTTCAGCACACCACAGCACCTTTGCAAAAATCTCAAAGTAAGTGACAAATCGGTCCTTTGAGGAGATGCACTAAAAATGCAAATTATTGTCACTGTATGCAATAACTTTCTGTATTAGTCAAGACACCACCTACAAAAAACGAAGATACTGAAATGTTTAGAACTATGCAAGTACTTTGAAACATGCACCGTTCTTTTTTATTCATTATATAGCACAAATTCATAGAAATCTGTGTAATTGGTAAATATCTGAATTGCAAAGATACTGCAAAGCTTTAAAAGAGCTTATATTTGTAGCCTGGTAAACTTGGGACTTTCAGCAGCTCAAGGCAGAGGACAAGAAGCAATTGACAGTACAATTCACTTTGATGGCAATTTCATGTTACCTCCTTTTATGACTTTGCTGATTTTTCCTAAGATTCAGAGAAAAAAAAGTACTGTCTGTCATTGGTCACTCTGTGGAATTTGATGAGAATTTGATGGAATTTGAAGAGAAATTTGGAACCTGAAACAGCGTATTGGGACAGTTAAGAGAGGTATGGATAGCATTTTCAAAACAGAAAGAACAGAATTCATGTTCTCCATCTTGCTGAAGCTTCTGAACAGGCCAAGACATCTTTGAGTATTTACTCTGCTTTTACTGTGACACAGGTTTCTGCATTTATTAATGATTCATCAGCTTCATTTCTGAATATCCTAATTAGCACAACTACCATCATTTTCCTTGTAAGACACTTCTGAAGCCCAAATAGACCTCATGACTAGAAAGTATTTCCTGTTATTAACCTTAGATTTCTCAACTTCCTTTCGCTACTTGATTCTAACAACTATGATCCATCATTCTCTCCTTTACTAATGTATACACTGTTCTGCTGTTTGCAGTGATGCATTTTCCCACAGTAGAGCTGGCAGTTTGCACATAATGCTCTCATAACTTTTTCCTAAGGTGATTACCCAGTCCATGCTCACGATTTAAACTGTTGTCAGAGTTCTCTCCCGTTTCCCCAACAGCTTTAGGGCAATTTGGCAGCCTAAGGTAATCTCAATAGATAATGCACATAGAAAGCCATTACTGTTTCATGCAGTACCTTAAGCCTTTTGAGCACAGTCTGCAGTTGGGTTGACCTTTTCCAGACCAAAGTGTCATTGTGGACATGTATCTAATATATTGTCCATCAACATGCTTTCAAGCTAGATTTTTTTGGTATAAAATTGCTGACGTGAGATGGGTAAGAATTCAGAAAGAGAAACCCTGTTGAGTGAAATGAGATCTGCGTACCACCTTCCTCCTCTTAGGTTTTCCTTCAGTTTTGTGTGTCACAAGTTGCGTATCTTCAAACAAAACAGGTACCTCCACTCTGGTCTTTAAGCAACTACACACCCTTTTGCTAACAAACCTATCCCATTCCTCTTATTACCATTGCTCACAGCTCACTGATTCTATCACACCAGAGTCCTAAACCTCTCATCTGCTGCATCAATTGGGGTCATGACCTGTTTCTAAGGCATCTATCACAAGTTACTGAGGAAAGCAAGCCTATGACCGTGCTTCCAGCAGGGAAATTTTAAGACAGCCTGCAGATCAGACAAGTTGAAATACATGGCTTTGGAAGTCTCATCAGATACTCCAGGGTGCATTTTTCTGCACAAGACCATCTTAAAACTCATGGCTGTTATCACCTAGACTTAATATCTCATCCGCTCAGCATTAAACAGTAGATAAACAACCTGACCTGCAAGTGGGATGGTTTCCATGCAAATTACTTACTCTCAATGACAGTAACAAAGTCAAATTCTAAAAAAACATATGACGTTAACTGAAATACAAGCTTTGTCAATTGTTAGTCCATACATAACAGAAGTATTGCACAATCCAATTCTGTACTAATACTCTGACTTACGAAGACCAAGAAGACATGGACAAAACTGAGTTTCTTCTAGCCACAACAGGCACCGCTATGTTGTCCCTAGAGAACCTCCATCCTCCCCTTCCCTCAAAGGTGGCTGCTATAGAAACACTTATCTGCTGTGAGTCAAGCTCATGTGCTAACCGCCCTCCTCTGCACGGCCTCTCCTGTGCACGCTGATGTGTGGAGAGGGACGCCCAACTGCCAAATGTATTTCACATTTGTTTTGGAAGACATGTTAAGTTTTTCCATTTTCCCAATGTTCCATACGCTGAGAAGCCAGACATTAAAAGTGAGAGTTAATGGGAGTTTTCAGGCTCCCGCCCAAATGGGAACAGCTTCCCAAACAGCTTTGGAGACGTACTTTTTTCCCTTCATGTAGCCTGCTTAAGCTGCTAGAAAAAATTATTTCCTGCTGCGAGGAAGTTAGTTTTGGTCATGAATCATTACACAGCTTAATAAGTAAAACAATTAAAGGTATTAGATACAGTTGCATGCTTCTCATTATTCAATTGTTCACCTCTATTTTGGATTCTTCTGGAACATTGGCTAAGATAATGACAGCACACAACAATGAATTTCCAGGCTATGATGTGGTACGGAGCACACCTTACAATTTGTATGTTTTTGGATTTCAGTTTCATTGATCAACTTTGTGTGACCAGGAAAAGGAAGCAGAGGTATCTAGGTTGCTGTATCCCATCAGATTTTTTTTCCTGAATATTCTATTCCTCCATTCTCTTACTGTCTATAAACAGTGCCAATCTATTAAGTCTTTCTCAATTGAAGAGCTCATTATACCTGAATCCTTCCTGCCTCTTCTTTGAACCCTGTCTTCTCCTGCTCTGTTCTTCCCTTAGTTTGGACATCAAAGCAGAAGCAAGTTATCTGAACATGCCTTCCACAGCACTAGTTGCTCTGCATCATCTTTGCAGCTGTCAGCTGGACCTACTCCACTGGTCTTGCAGAGCTGCAAGACGATGTGCAGAAAGAGTAACAGTAAAATATTCCATGAAAAAACAAACATGAAACCTCTCCACTCAATACCTATGTGACAGAAATGCTGTGGGCAGCCCTTAGGTCACCACTCAGGGTGCACAACATTATACCAGGCATACACTTGACCAGCAAAAAAGGCATACTTTTTTATGACTAAGTGTCCACCCCAGTGATTCAAGAAAAAGCACAGTATCAATTTCTAGAAGTTTCATTGTCTTCTCAGTGTTCTGTCCTATTGTTTATCTTCACTGGCAATTTTGTACTTTCCATACATACTAATTGTTTCTAGTTTGGCCTTCAGATAATTAACATATAATGCAATCAACAAGGAATGGACCTCATGTAGAATCATACACAGAAGTGTACCATTACATTTGTCTCAATCCCTCTTTGAACTGTGACATAGGCCTCAACTCTTCACCCAATGTGTGCATTACAGGAGATAATGACCACACCTTTCAATTCTGTCCCAAAATAAATGATTAGAAATGTACTTATTTAATGGCTAGAGCAACATATCTGAAGAAAGCTACAAAATACACTTCAAAGGACCCACCCGTTTGGAAAGAGGTAAACTCAAAAACCTGATACCAACACCCTTGGCAATGTGACTCATAGTATGCAGGACACTGCACGTTACCTCCACACTCCTTCCTGCCCAGAACAGAGAGAGCTAGTCTTTTTCCAGTGGTGCCCAGTGGCAGGACAAGAGGTAATGGGCACAAATTTGAACATAGGAAGTTCCATCCAAATGTGAGGAGGAACTTATTTACTTTGAGGGTGGCAGAGCGCTGGAACAGGCTGCCCAGGGAGGTGGTAGAGTCTCCGTCTCTGGAGACATTCAAAACCCATCTGCACATATTCCTGTGCAACCTGCTCTAGGTGGACCTGCTTTGGCAGGGAGTTAGACTAGATGATCTCCAGAGGTCCCTTCCAACCCCATATCATTCTGTGATTCTGTGAGAGAGGACCATGAGATACCGAAGCAGAAAGAAGGCAAGCACCAGGATACGTGGAGAGGACAAAAATGTGAAGTGGACAGAAAACACATAGAAAAAGGTAACCTGTAGCTGTTTAAACACAGAGTATAGCTCTGCTTTAACCCTGCAGCCCCCTAGACTCTGCAGAATTGCTTTAACCTACTCTGATAGCAGCAATGGGCTGTGGAATGAGACTGTAGCAAATACAACTTTTAATATGCCCAACAGCTTTGTGAAAAAAATCATTGGAAGTTTTAGTGAACTGTAAAGTAATTATATCAAGAAGACTTTTATTACTGTCTGACAACTGAAAATACCTCTATTTCCACAAACTTCTCAAACTATATTAATTAGAAACAAACAAATTAGAAACAGATTAGAAACAAACAAAATTCTTGAGTAAAAGACATCCCAGCTTCCAATGACCACATTTTCATCTAGATCATTCCAAAAGCTCAACATATTTGTTATTAATAACTTTTATTAATAATATTTTTCCTCACTTGAAATTTAATACCCTGGAAACTAGTCTCAGCTGAATCTTTTCCACTGAGAATAATGTTCCTTCAACGGAGAAGTGATGGGTGTTTAACTGATACAAGAAATGTTAAGAGAGCAGTTATGCCTCTACTGCATTTTAACTGCACTTTGGTTTGAAGACACAAACACTCCAGGATGGGTTTATACTGGGTGGCCTCAGCAGTGCCACAAGGAGTGAATATTCCATGTTTCTTTCACCATGTATTTGACAGGAACATCTTCACAGACTGGCCATTAATGCTATGCCTAAATATGTCGTTTGAGAGCGTGGATCTGACAGT